TCTCACCGTAGCCTCACGAGGCTACCCATCGCTCCCCAAATTAGCCACAAACTCCTTTCTCTCTACTTTTGTTTATGCTGTTCTCTCTGACAGTAAAGCTTTGTTACCTTTGTCTATATGGTGGAAATTTGTTCAAAGCCCAGATTAAATGTCATTTGCTCTCAGAAGATATCTGTAGCAGAGACTGCTAGTTACCCGACAAATTTCTATTCTCCCCTCTTCCCTAGCAACAAAATCTCAATTTTTAGCCTTGTAGCTAGTAGTCATAGAGCTGACTATGGGGAGCACACAGGCATCAAAGAAAGCTTGCGTAGGACTCCGCCCCGACACCCTGACAGTAGCGCCTGCTTAACAATCATGCATTCATTCAGCAATTATTTATTAAATGCCCACTTGTATTTATTATTGCTGCTGTGGTTGTTATATTAATACTGTTAATATTATTGATAGCAATATTATGTGCTAAGCTCTGGAAACACAATAGTGAATAAGAAACAGTCCTTGCCCTAAAGAAACATTAAGTGGAATAGAGAAGACAAAGAAAACAGGAAATTACCTCCAGAAATGGTAAATGCTTTGACACATAAGCACTGGACACTCTCTACAACCCAGAAGAACTCTAACCTAAATATTAGGGTTTGGGGGCCGGCCCGGTGGTGCACTCGGTAGAGTGTGGCGCTTGGGAGCATGGCGGCGCTCCCACCGAGGGTTCGGATCCCATATAGAGACCGGTCCGCTCACTGGTTGAGCGCGGTGCGGGCGCGACACCGAGGGTTGCGATCCCGTTGCCGGTTGTGGTACAGGCGCGACACTGAGGGTTGCGATCCCATTACCGGTCACGAAAAAAGACCGTACATCCGCCTTGGATCCCGTTACCGGTCACGAAAAAAGACAAAAAAAAAGGGAAAAAAAAAATATTAGGGTTTGGGATGTGACAGAGACAGCTTCTCCGATGACCTGCTGTCGATGCTGAGTTGTAACAGACTGGGTAAATTGGAGGTGTCTGTGTTCAGACAGCAGCACCAAAAAGTGCAAAGGGCCAAGGGCTAGAGAAAAGGTGGCTAGTGGTGGGGGCTAAAGCAGAGGGGCAGAGTGGTGCAGGACGAGGCTGGGGCACGCCAGGCCTCCTTGGCAAGCAAAGACTTGCACTTTTTCCCGAAGGCGATGAGTAATCACTGAAAGTTCTGAGGCACCCAGTGGTATAACCAGCTCACCCTAGCTAGCTGACTAAACAAGTGGCTGAAAGATACACGGAGTCAAAAACAACACCAACATTTCTACTTGGGTAACTCGGTGGATGGTGACACCACTCACTGATACACACAGCACAGGAGAAGGAACAAGTTTTGGGGAAAAGGTGAGGAGTGCAGTATAGGACATGCTGAATTTGATGTGTGTGCAGGGGGTGTTTAGTGGGCAGTTGGTGTGTGTGCATGGGGTGTTTAGTGGGCAGTTGGCGGTATGGGTCTGGCATCTAGGAGAACAAACTGGGCTGAAGATAAGATCTGAGAGTCATCAACACGGGTGATAATCAAAGCCATGATAGTGGATGATTATCAAGGGTAAGGACAGAGTGAGAAGAGGCTCAAGAACAGACTGTACAATTGCTAATATCTAAGGGAAAGATCCAGAGAAGGAATGTCCACCTAAGCTAAGAGAAAACAGGGAGATAATAAGGAGCCTCGTGTTACAGTGCAGCCTTATAACACCAACATCACAGCTTAGGATCCCTGTACCCGCCAGCCATCAAAACAATTTCTTAATTAAATTAAAATTTAATCAAATTAGAAAAAAAGAGTCCTGTGTAGACAGCACAGTAGGTCACCATGACCTAGTGTCACCCTAACCCAGCAATTAGGTTCCTGACTTTTATGCCAGTCCTTCAGTGACTATGTTCATGCCTTTTACCCCAATACTGTAAGACACTTGCAGCTCTGAAACAGACTATCTGAACTTCAATCATCTGCTGTTTGGACCTAAGAATACTTGCCCTATCCCTGCTTTGATAAACACTCAAGATTTTGGCTTCTATTTAGACCTTGGTTTCTGGTGTTTCCATTCTGCCTGTTTGTTTTTCCTCTGGACTAACTTCATTTTATACCTGGGCTTGTATCTAAATGCCCAGTCCCGGGACAAATACTCTGGTTACACTTTCAGGCTTACACATCAAGACTTTATCCCAACCCTGAAGTTCTTCCTGGAACAATAAACAAACCTTCCTTGATGTGACCTGACCCAAGCCCCAAAGCTAAGGCTAAGACAAGGCTGAAGCAAAGGTCAGAAATCATGATATAAGCCATCATTGATACGGCTTGAAATGGAAAGGCCTCTAACAAATTATCCAGAAAACTATGATGAATCCTGCTGGAGCAGAAACCAGTGCCAGGACATGCATGGTCATTTCAGAATCTGTGATGAGAGGAACTAATGCCAAAGATAACCTGAGCAGGCTAATATGCCAGGAACGGGGAGATAGATCTAGAGCTAAGGGCAAATCCTGAAAATGTGAAAAATCATGCTTTATTTTTTAGGATAGGTTAATGACCACAAAACCTGGTAAGTACTTACAAAATTGTAAGAGGAATAGGAAAATAAGAGTTTTTAATGTAACTCCATGACTTTTTAGAAAACAGGGTACTTACCTACATGAATGTTATCTTTAAATGCCACATCATGAAGTTGAAATATTAAATGGCGGCTAAATTTTTCATCAGTGCTAGAATCCAAGTTGAAAACATCTTCAGCTGAACAATTAACACTGTATAACTCTTTAAGTGCTTTACAAACATGCTAAAAACACAAGTAAAATGTAAATATTTTTTTGTTTTAAAATTTTCCTACAAGCAAAATTCAAGTATCTTCATATAAATCTGACTAATGTAAAAAAATTTTTGATTTACTGTTAGAATATTTACAAAATAACAATCTTACCAATTTACTTAGAAATATATACTATATCTAAATATATACTATATTTAAATTACTATACATGTTTATGTTCAAAATTTTATAGGCTCTCAGGAGTAAAGAGGCCTCTTAGAAGTCAAACAATTTATGTTAACATTCACTAAAATCACAATAAAAATATTTCTCTTAAGCATCTCTTTAAATATCACCTATGAGTTAAAAAGTCAATGATTCCTTTTTTTTAATGGTTTCAACATTAGAAAGTTTCTCATTCATATTGAGTCCAAGTTCACCTCTAAGAATACAACCTGTGGGGTTAGATGACACTGATATTGAAAGCAGTCATGCACTGTAGCCAGCATGTGGTCAGAGGCACAAGATTTGGAATCAGATAGATCTAAGTTTGAGTTCCGGCTTCATCATTTACCAGCTCTGTGACTTTGGTCAAATCTAAACTCTATATTCCTCAATTGCTAAATGGGAATAATAACAGCACCTAACTTTTGGAGTCACTGTAAAGAGCAAACAAGAAAATTAGATTAAGGAGTTAGCACAGTGCCTGGCACATGTAACTTTTTGAAAGTATTGGGTGTGCAGCCCTAAGACAAGTCACGTCTCCCTAGGCCTCAATCTTCTCGTTTGCAAAATGAAGCTATTAAGAACTACCATGAAGAGTTATCTTCAGTTTGGCAAAAATATTTGCGAGCTGCCAAGCACTTAGATACCTAATAGTTATTCAATAAATGGTATTTGTTAATGTTATTTTGGCATTATTACAGCCCCATTATCCCCCTCATGCTG